GAAGTCACAAAAAAAGTAAAACCCTGTAAAAAAAAAAAAAAAAAAAAAAAAAAAAAAAAAACACGGGGAAAAAATGGAAACAAAGTCTTTGTAAATAGGTGAGGTTAGAGGAGGTGAAGGAAGCGAAGAGGTGTGGGGAAAAAATGAGAACCAAGATCCGACATGTAAAGATACAAGATCCCAATGATGAATGTAACTGTACCGTACACTTAAATAGTACCAATAAAGTCAATGAAAAAAATTTAAACTAGATGTCATTTATTAAAGATGACTTCTATAAACAAATTTCAAAACAGTCAAAATCTGAGTCTAAACCATATAACAGAATTCACAGACATTTACATTTTTTTATATTTAAAGACTCAGCTCTAATTAATTTCCCTCTACTTCAAAAGTAATAGGGCTGGGGATTTAGCTCAGTGGTTCCACCACCTGCCTCACAAGCACAAGGACCTGAGTTCGATCCCCGGTACCAAAAATAAAAATAAAAAATAAATCAAAGTTATAGACAAGCATGGTGGTACATGCCTATAATCCCAACACTCAGAAGGCTAAGGCAGGAGAATTGCAAGTTCAACCACAGGGAAATTAGAGCTGAATCTTTAAATATAAAAAATGCAGATTTCTGTGAATTCTATTATGTGGTTTAGACTAAGATTTTTAACTTTGTTTTGAAATCTGTTAATAGAAGGCATCTTTAATAAAAGATATCTAGTTTAATTTTTTTTTTTTGGTACCGGGGATCAAACTCGGGTCCTTGTGCTTATAAAGCAGGTGGCAGAACCACTGAGCTAAATCCCCAGCCCATAGTTTAAATATTTATTTGCTCATTCAGGAAAAGGAAGTTACACATTACAGTGTTAAGAATATACACTTTTTCTAATTATAAAAATGTCATATTCAAGCCAAGTATGGTGACCACATCTGTAATCCCAGCACTCAAAAGACTAAGGCAGAAGAATCGCAAGTTCAAACCAAGCCTGGGAAATCTAGCAAGACCCTGTCTCAAAAAAATTTTTTTAAAAAGTTATAAAAAGAATTAACTTTTGAGAAAAAATCTCCTGTGACCATAAGTGACCATACTCCTCATTATATCTATTGCCTGACCTAATTATCAACAATATCTTCTTTTACTTTTTTTTTTTTGTACCAGGGATCAAACTCAGGACTTTGTGACCACTGAGGTACATCCCTGGCCCCTTCTTTTACTCTTTTCTTTTCTTTTTTTGGTACCAGGGATTGAACTTGGGACACTGAGCTAAATCCCCAGTCTGCTTCTTTTACTCTTGAAAGCACTTGATTTAGACAATAAACTGTGGTTACATAGCTCTAACATTCTAACAACCCATTATTTGGTTACTATGTATTAAAATCAGCATCCTGGGGCTCAGGTGGATTTAGCTCAGAAGCACCATGCCTGTCTTACAAGCACAAGGTCCTGAGTTCAATCCCTGATACCAAAAAATTTTTAAAAATCACCATCCAAAATAATAAAACCTAGATAATGTGTAGAACCTATTTTAAAGATATTATTTTCATTGTTCAATTATAAACATAAACCCAGGCATGGTGGTGCAAACCTGTAATTCCAGCTACTTACTTCCAGGAGGTTGAGGCCAGAGGATCTAAAGTTCAAGACCAGCTTGGGCCACTTACAAGACCCACCACAAAATAAAAACGAAAAAGGCTAAAGCACTGCCTAGTGTGTACAAGGGCTTGGGTTCAATCCCCAGAGCAATAAGAGCAAAAATGCAAACATTACCTTTTTGCTTAGATTCAGGAACTTTCACATTTACTCTAATTAACTTTTTTTTGTTTTGGATTTTGGTTTTTTTTGGTACCTGAGATCGAACTCAGGTCCTTGTGCTTGCAAGGCAGGCGGCAGAACCACTGAGCTAAATCCCCGGCCCCTAATTAATTTAACTTTAAGAGGATACCCCAAACATCAATATCACTTCTTCATGACTGTGGGGAAAGTCTACAACTATGGAAAGACTGTGAATGAGTTAAAATAAGAAAAAAAGTTCTAAATCACAAGGCCTGATCATGTGAGTGTTCTAAGAAACAACTCACCAATATAGGTATTTTCAAACTAAATCACCTCAGGGTATTCAAATCAGCACAATAAAGCAAAATAATAAATAAACAAATAAAAAATATTATCTAAAGACCAGATGTGGTGGCACATAGCTGTAATCCTAGCACTCAGGAGGCTGAGGCAGGAAGATGGTTGCAAATTCACAGCCAGTAGGGACTGTGGTGAGTTCAAGGTCAGCTTAAGCAGACTATAGAAACCGATCTTTCTCAAAAACTACAAAAACATGAAAAAAAAAAAAAACTACAAAAAGATGAAAGAGGGAGAGGAAGAACAGGAGGAGAGGGGAGATGGATCTGAGCTAAGAGCCCTTTCTCTCAAGATTTATACTCATTCCACTCCTGAATATAAATTTTGCTTTCTAATGGCTATGCAAGGAGAGATCCAAGTCTAAAATTTCTGGACACCATAATGCATCTTTCAGAAAAGCCTTATGAAAAAAGAAAAGGCCAAAAAATAACAATAACAAAAAAGAATAAAATCTACCTCATCAACATACCTGAAGGTCCCGTTGGGCATCTCGGGCAGTTTTGCCCTCCAGAAAAGACTTGTTCTGGCCATAGCCAAAGATCTGGCTTCCAGGCAACCTGTGATCCACATCACGATACTCCATACTTCTGTAATCCGTGTCTTGTTGGCCAAGAAAGTCCAGATCACCCTTTTCTTTAAACAGGCCAGCATCTGAACTCTGTTGCTCGGCTGCAGAAAGCTGTGACTTGTCTTGGTCTTGAATTGGACTTTGGCTCTTTTGAAAATCTGATGGAAGCTCATGTTCAAAGGCAACACCTTGTGTTTCTCCTTCTCTTGTTTCTGAATGCTCAAATTCTCCCTTCTGAATGCGAAAACTAGGCCGTTCTACAGTATGGTCATGTGTGGATTCTTCTCTCTTGTTCATGTTCATACAAGAATGTTCTCTATCTTGTGTAGTGGGCTGAATGTAATCCAAAAGTTTTGGATCCACAGGAGGCATCTCCCTGTCTTTAAATTCCATACAAGGTCCCATCTCTCTGCCCCTAAAATCCTGATCAGTCCTGGACCGGTGTCTACCTCTAAAGTCTGAATGTGGTGTATCCCTGTCCCTAAAGTCTAGATCAGTAGTACCTGAACCTCGGCCTCTAAAGTCCACCTGTGTTCCCTCTTTATCCCTCAAGTCCAAATCCGAAACATCTCTATTCCTAAAATCAGAACGGGACTGATCTCTGGTCCTGAAATCCAAATCCGATAAATCTCTTCCTCTAAAATCTGCATGGGATCCATCCCGGCCTCTAAAATCTAAATCATAAGTGCCCCGGCCCCTAAAGTCAGATGGAGGGTCTCTACCTCTGAAATCAACAGTGTGAGCATCCCTGTCTCTGTAGTTCATATGAGGTGTCTCTCTACCTCTAAAATCCACAGAAGTACCATCCCCTCCCCTATAGTCCATAGGTGGTCCTTCTCTATCCCGAAAATCCCCAGAATGTATGTCCCTGCCCCTGAAGTCCAATTGTGAAGAATCTCTGCTCTGGAAATCAGAAGATGAAAAATCTCCCCCCCTGAAATCATGTCCTGGTCCCTCCCCTCCTCGATAGTCACCATGCGGTCCATCTCTAGCTCCATAGCTGAAAGAATGCTCCTCTACATTTGCAAAAGGAGGCCCCGAATGCCCCTGGAAATCAAAGGGAAGTGAATCTCTGCCAGGAAAGTTGCCAGAGTGTCTCTCTTGAGCATGACTCTTAAGGGGAGGAGGAGGATAATCCCTGTTCCACCCGGGAGCAAACCTCTCTTCTTGGCTCCCACTGTAGAAACAAAGACAGTGTTATTCATATTGTCCAGAGAGTTTGAAATCTACACACCAGCATATTCTTCTCTAATCACAGCACATTCTTCTGTAAACATTTTTTTTTTTTTTTGGCAGAGTTCTGTAACAAGGTCCTAGATCTGCAGAAAACAGCAAAGTTTTGCTATCTTAAGACGAAGTGACGGAGTAAAGTTTTATGCTCCCATTTCAGAACACGAGGAAAGTCAACACAAGGTTTTCAACATGACTGCTGCAGAAAAAGCTTTCACCCAGTCCTGCAACAGGGAAAATCCGCAATACCAGATAAGCTAAAAATGGTGACATTACAAAAATTTCATTTCCTATAGCCAGGGAACTTAGAATTCCAAGATCAACATGTTGATTCCTATACATCAGAAAAATATCAAGGCACTTTTAATTTCTTACAGTAAGTTTCAGGAAGTGTCTTTCTTATAGCTGCATCCAGGGGTAACATTCCAAAATATTTCATTACAGCTATAGCAAGAATACCATCCATTCAAAATGGATGCAAGCCCCAAAGAAATGAACACTGGTTGTATATCAATCAGCAGAAGCACACCAGTGTTCACCAACTGAGTATCACTCTGGCTGAATCTAAATCCCAGTTCTACAGTGGCTCCACCCAGAAGCACTTACTACAACTAACTACCCAATGTATCACAGAAGGCAGCATGAATCATGCTACAAAGTTGTGTAAATCACCTAAATCACACAACAGCACTCAGGAGCTTAAAAGGACCTAGAGACATTATTAGGTCTTCAAGCATTATTATCTTTGTGTCCCAAATGAGGAAGCTGATATTTCAGATTCCAATATCTCAAATGCTAATTTTTTTACAATAACAAAGAGTATTTTAAACTAGGAACAGTATTAACAGTACCACATTCTCAGTTTACAGAAATCAAGAGATAAACAAGAACTGGCACAATCTTCCATACTACCCAATTTCTTCCCCTTGTCTAACATTTAGAGAATTTTACACATTTTGGCTTTGGTCAAAGATTAGGACACTTAAAAAGACAATTAGAGATACAGGATAGAGAAATATGAAAAAGAAAACAAAATGATTTGAAGGGTTATCCGCTGTTTAGCAGTAAACAAAAGCATTAAGATAACACCAACACAGTTCTCTCCTTCCACAACACACAGTTCCTATTATAAGGGACCCTTCTGAGTTCAAACCACACCATATAATAAAACTCAAAAGACAACTGATTTCAGTTACTTAATTCAAGAGTAAAGTCATAAAAACAAAAACTTTGTTAAACTAACAGGAATTTATCATTAATCAAAACACTTGAATGATGTACATTTAATGGATTTCAGAACACAGTAACTTCCACTGGTTCCCATTAACATTAGTTATGTCTATGTGGTTCATCCTAAAAGAAGCAAATTTAGATGTTCTTCATAAATAATAAATTTAGCACTAAAATTAAGATGTTATAATTAACTATAGGATCTCCCATATTTAAAATCATTCAAGCCAGGCTTGGTGGCGCACGCCTGTAATCCCAGCACTCGGGAGGCTGAGGCAGGAGAATCGCTGTCAGTTCGAGACCAGCCTGGACTACATAGTGAGTTCCAGGTCAGTCTCAACTACATAGTGAGACCCTGTCTCAAAAAACAAAAAACAAAACAAAACAAAACAAAACAAAAAAAATCATTCAAGTCCTACTAATTAGCTGGCTAGAAGACTTTTAAGCCTCCTCAGACATTCATGAGATGTGGGCTGAGACATCTTAAATCTACATGTTTTCCGACCAGAATACATCCAACACTGCCTTTGAATACTCCCTTAGAATTTTCTTTATTTTTGGTACTAGTGATCGAACTCCAGACCGTGTGCTTTTGAGACAGGTGGCAGAACCACTGAGCTAAATCCCTGGCCCTAGAATTTTCTTATCCTTCTAAGGTCAAACAAATCTAGAAGAGTAACTTACTGTACTGAGGTCCTCTGATCTGTATTTTATGGAGACTAATCAAGAAATAGCACTATTGGGCCGGGGATTTAGCTCAGTGGTTCTATCACCTGCTTCACAAGGGCAAGGTCCCAAGTTCAATCCCCATACCAAAAAAAGAAAAGAAATAGCATTATTAATATAGTCCTGGCTATGAAGAACATCTAATTAAATAAAAATGAATTTAAGAAAAATTTTTTCTAAGAAAATAAAAATAATTTTCCTGCAAGATATCTATGTTTGGTTCAAATTAGTCCCCTTCAAAGAGAATGTTATACAAGTTATGCCTCCCTCTAATCAAAGGTTTTTGTTTTGTTTTGGGATTTTTTTTTCCCCTTGTGGGGGAGAGTTCCTAGGGATTGAGCCCATACTAGGTAAGCACCAATGAGATATATCTTTAGCCCTTTTATTTTTTATTTTTGAAACAGAGTCTCACTAAATTGCCTCGAACTTGTGATCACCCTGCCCCCACCTCCGAAATAGCTGAGATTATAGATGTGTGCTACAGCAGCTGGCTGATCAGAGATTTTACAATCAGGGGCCAGGGCTCACTTTGGCAGCACATATACTGACACTGAAAAGATGCAGAAGCAATTAACAAGGCCCCTGCCCAAGGATGACATACAAATTCTTATCTTTAAGAAAATGTGGTATTTATATACAATGGAGTACTACTCTTCCATACGGAAGAATAAATTTGAGTCATTTGTAGGAAAATGGATGCAATCTGAGACTATAATATTAAGTAAAATAAATCAGATACATAAGCTTAAATGTGACATGGTTTCTCTCTTTTTTATTCTTGTGGTACCGGGGATCGAACTCAGGACCTTGCATTTGAGAGGTAGATGCGGTGTCACTGAGCTAAATCCACAGACAAATTTCTCTTATAAGAAGAAACCCAAAACATAAATAAATTAAATAGCAAAATAAAAGATATACAAGAAAACAGGTGGTGACAAGAGATGGAAAGAAAAGGGAGAGAGGGGAGGGAAAGAGGACATAAAAAGAATCAAGATGTATCATGTACCTGTATCAGCTCCCTACAATGAATGTAAATCATTATGTATTACAAACATGTATTAATAAAAATTAATTTAAAAAATAAAATCAGGGGCTGGGTGTGTAGTAGTAGTAGAATGCTTGCAAAGCATTCACTGGGTTTGATCCCTTGGGTTATATCCTGTGTTTGTTCCCTAGCACAAGACCAAAAATCAAAAACAAAAAAAGAAAATCCCCCCCCAAAAAAGCATGTAATGACTTACATTTTAAATGGGGAGGGGAGCCAGGCATGGTGGTGCATGCCTGTAATCTCAGCGCTCTGGAGCCTGAGGCAGAAGGATCACTGTGCATTCGAGACCAGCCTGGGATACATAGTGAGTTCCAGGTCAGTCTCAACTACATAGTGAGACCCTGTCTCAAAAAACCAAACAAAAATTTTAAATTTAAATTTAAAAAAGAATTAAAATGGGAAGAGGACCAGGGATTTAGCCCAGTGGTTTGGCTGCCTGCCTCGTAAGCTCAAGGAACTGAGTTCAATCCCAGGTATCAAAAAAAAAAAAGAAAGAAAGAAAGAAAAGAAAATGGGGAGGGCCGGAGATTTAGTTCAGTGATGCTGCCTGCCTTGCAAGCCCAAGGTCCTAAATTCGATCAGTACCAAAAATAAATAAATAAATAAATAATTTTTAAGTGGGGAAATACAGCCGCCAGGTATGGTGGCTCACGCCTGTAATTCCACCACTTGGGAGGCTGAGGCAGGAGGAAGTACGCTGTGAGTTTGAGACCAGCCTGGGCTACATAGTGAGTTCCAGGTCAGTCTCAACTACACGGTGAGACCCTGTCTCAAAAAACTAAAAAACGAAAAAACTAAAAGATTAAATAAAATGGGGAAATACAAATGTTAATGTATACAGCCAGGTGTGGTGGTGTATGCCTGTGATCCCACCCCTAGAGAAGCTGAGGTAGGAAGACTGCAGGAAGTACAAGGCCAGCCTGAGTTAAGTAGTGAGTTCCAGACCAACCTAGAAAACATAGTGAGACTTTCCCTCCAAAAAAAAAAAAAGTTCAAAGCACAAATCCATTTATTCCAGACTTTTTTTTTTTGTAGACTTTTTAAAAATGAAAACCTAAAATAAAAATATATTGGAGCTTTCTGGGTCATATAATCTCTATAATAACTATTAGAAAAAAAATTCAACCCTGCCACTGGAACATGCAAGCAATCATAGACAAATTGTAAATAGATGTCTGTGTCCTAATAACATTTTTTTAAAGAACAGTCTGAAAAAAAAAAAAAATTAAAAAAAATAAAAACAGTCTTTGGGGGCTGGGATTTAGCTCAGTGGTTCTGCTACCTGCCTTGAAAGTACAAGGGCCCGAGTTCAATCACCAGTACCAAAACCAAAACAAAACAAAAAGAAAATAAAGTGTTTGTAGATGGGGAGGGGAGGAGGGGGTGAAGGGAGGGCAGAGGTAAGGGGAAAAAATGAGAATCAAGACTTGCCATGTAAAGGTACATGATCCCAACAATGAATGTAACTGTACTGTATCCCTAAAATGTACCAATAAACTCAATAAAATTAAAAAAATATATATATATATATTTTTCTACAATGAAGCAGTTAAGAAGCATGGAAACACAAGTGTAGATTAAAATGTTATTAATAAAGAGGCACAATTTAAAATAAATAAATAAATAAATAAAAAATAAAATAGTCTTTGGGCCGGGCGTGGTGGCACATGCCTGTAACCCAAGCACTCAAGAGGCCAGGCAGGAGGATCACAGGGAATTGAGGATAGCCTAAACTACAAAATGAGTTCAAGGTCAGCCTGAATTACATAGTGACACTCTGTCTCAAAAAACAAACAAACAAAACAGTCTTTGGGCTGCAGTTTGCCAACCAGTGACCTAGAGCTTAGTATATACTGAAAGAAAAAACATACCCAAGCACTACCACTATAAATTGAAAGTCCTCAGCCAGGGATTTAGCGCAGTGGTTCTGTGGCCTGCCTTGCAAGTGCAAGGACCTGAGTTCAATCCCTGGTATCAAAATTAATTAATTAATTAATTAAAATAAAATAAGTTGAAAGTCCTCAAAGCAAAGATTCAAAAAAAAAAGCAAAAGCAAAGATCCTTTTCATTTACCATTTATGAAACATTAGTTGTACTAAATATTACATAGATTTTCTAAAGTTACTTTTTTCCAATTTTTTTATTGGAACCTAAAGCTTCAGAATAATGAATGAGAACATGTACAGACTTTAAACAATAATATTTCGCAGACTGCCAATTCAAATGAAAATGTACTAGCATCAGAAGTTTCAGATGGAACATCAATACTTTTATTTGTTTGCTTAGTTTTCTCCTTTCATTATATTGAGACTTTTTTGTTTTGTTTTGTTTTGTTTTGTTTCAAAGATCCGAGCCTCACAATGTAGCTCAGGCTAGCCTTGACCTCACTATGTATTCCTGGCAGGCCTCAAACTCACTGGTGATCTTGCCTCAGGCCTCCCAGGTGCTGAGATTATACCTGTGCACCACAGCAAGTAGCTCCCAGCAATTTTTTTTTTTTTGGTGGTACTGGGGCTTGAACTCAGGACCTTGTGCTTGTGGGGCAGGCGGAGCACCACTGAGCTAAATCCCTGGCCCAAATATATAAATTTAAATCAGATTTCTTTTTTATATATCATAAACCATATTCATATAGCATTTCACTAATTGTGAATACAATACACGTACAGAAGTTTTAAAAATATTATCACCAGTGTGTATTACACTAGATATAAGAAAATTAACTCCAGAGCTGAGTACTGGCACAGGAGATTGAAGAGGGGAAATGGTTTGAACTCAGATGATTAAAACAAGCCTGGGCAATTTAGCAAGACCCTGTTTTAAAAAAAAAGTGCCAGGGATTTAGCTTAGTGGTTCTGCCATCTGCCTTGTAAGGGCAAGGGCCCAAGTTCCATCCCCAGTACCAAAAATAAATAAATAAATTTTTTTAAAAAGGGCCAGGAGGACAGATTTAGCTCAGTCATGCTGACACCTGCTTTGGCAAGGTCCCAAGTTCAATCCCCAGTACCAAAAAAAAAAAGGGTTGGGAATATAGCTCAGCGGCATAGTGCCTGTCTGGCAAGTGCAAGGTCCTGAATTCAATCCCCCCACCAAAAAAATGAGCTGGAGATGTAATGCAGTGAAGGCCGTGGGTTCAAACCCTGGTACTGCCAAATAAAGAGCAATAAAACCTACCTCTAAATGTAAAATATTATCTATTTACAACTAAATACCACCATCATCTGTACTCTTTGTACCTAGTAACATAAAAATTGATATATAGCTTAGAAAAATATATTAGCATACCAATAGCAAGGCACAGCTCTGGATTCCAGGAATTTATCAGTAAATTTAATGGAATTTTTATAAACATTTATGTACAGTATATTTTGCTAGCTTTCTTTACTAACCAAGTACACATTATGTTGCTAAAAAAGAAAAAAATGTACCGTTTTAGACTATTTTTAATGTTTTAAAAATGTTATAAGGGTTGAAGATATGTAACTTGATGGTAGAGCACTGGCCTGCATGTTCCAGACCCTGGATTTGATCCCTCAACACCACAAAAAAGTAAAAATGTTATATGATTAGAAACACAGTATACTGAATGGTCAGTTTCAAATCAACTTAGAAATGACTAGAAACTTTTAAAAAACTTAGTTTCTAAATTAGGCATGATGGCACATGCCTATAATCCTAGTATTTTGGAAGGCTGAGACAGGAAGACTGCAAGTTCTAGGCCAGCCTGGGCAATTTACAAGACTCTGTCTGAAAGTAAGAAAGTAAAAAGGATTAGGAGTATAGCTCAATGCTCCCTAGGTTCAATCCCTAGTACCTCAAAAAGAATATAAAAAGAGCTTCTATGTTTTAAAACATCAGAGCTATTTCTCCACAAAGAAAAATATCCTTTTATGGTAGGCAAAAATGTTGTTTATGTATCACTGAAATACTGATAATTTCAATATTCAAATTTTAGCACTTACCGAAAATGTCCTGTTCTGTTACCAGACCGAGAATCCCCCCACATCTCTTTTTAAGTCAAGAAGGCCTCAAAAAGTAGATGCTTTTTGCACAAACTTTAGAGCGGTACCTGTATAAAGTAAAACACAAATAGTATGTACTTTAGTACATAAAACAAAGGCTATGTACTCTTTATGTGGCTGATCCTACACCATCCAACCTGGCTAAATACAATAATTTATTATGTTCACCACAGTGATTGCTTTGAAGACAAGCATGTAACCCAAATCAAGCTGAGAAATGTAGCTCAGTAGGCAAGCAGGAGACCCTGTGTGCAATGGTAGGGGGTGGGGGTGAGGTGTACCAGACAGCAAGCTGGGAATGTAGCTCAGCACAAACAAGGCTAAGCCCTGAGTTCAAAGTCATAATACTATTTTTTTTAATTTAACCTTGCCCTTGCCACACACTTCCTTTCCAGTATGGCAGTGGTTTTGGTCTTGAAATAGAGGCAGGCCAATTCCTAGCTCATCTCTCAAAAAGCAGAGTAGACTTTATAAAGCTCTATCTTTTCTGGAGGGGTATTTGAAGGACTGATACAAAATGCTCATCTCTATTTCACCTAAATCAGAAGTCAGATGGGAAAATCTGCAAGCATAGAACTAGAAACTCACAGACACTGGGGGCAAGAGATGAAGGGTAGCGGCCCAGAGGAAAGGCTGGGATGAAACTGTGGAAATCAGGATACTCAGAAGAGCAGGTACAGCTGGGGATAGAACATTTACCCAGCAAGTGTAAGGCAAACAAAACACACACACACACACACACACACACACACACACACACACGGATATTTAAAAGCCACACATACTCAAATAAGATAGGTGATCATACAAGACCTGAGAACACCATAACACTTCATTCATCTAAGGCTGATGCCCAACCTCAGAGCAAGCCAAGCATTGAATGGAACAAATATCTCAGCAAAGAGCTAATCTGCAGACACAAGAAGTAGTTGTTTTATTTTTGTTTCTGCTGGGGTTTTGCTTGTTTGTGTTCTGCCATTTAAGAAAATCTCTTTCAAAAATCAGTGCTGAGGAGGCTGAGGCAGGAGGATTGCTGCAAGTTTTCAGCCAACCTGGGCTACAAAGTGAGTTCAAGGCCAGCCTGAACTGCATAGCAAAACCTTTTTTCAAAAAGAAAAAGTCTCTCTGGGCGTGGTGGCACATGCCTGTAATCCCAGCTCTCCCGAGGCTGAGGCAGAGTAGGATTGCTGAGTTTGAGATCAGCCTGGGCTACATAGTGAGTTCCAGGTCAGTCTCAACTACGTGGTAAGACCCTGTCTCAAACCCACCCACAAAAAAGAAAAGTCACAAAACAGACTACTAAAATTTTTAACAGTCCCCCCCGCAAAAAAAGCCCAGAAACCCACAAGAAATGGGGTAAATCTGATTTCCAAAGTTGCCACATTATAATAGTCAAAAGACCAATTTCCAACAAAAAAATCATGACGTGTACAAAGAAAAAAGAAAACGGCTCTTTTGAGGAAACAAACAGAAACCATCCATAAGAAAGCTCAGACACTAGACATTCTAAATAAAGACTTTAAAACTGTCCTTTTCAATAAAAAGTAGGTGGGACAGTCAGTAATGGAGATTGAAGCTCAGACCTTCCACATGTTAAGCATGTACCTACAACTAGGCACCAAGTCTCCAAATAATTGTCTTAATATGCTTAAAAAGCTGTTAGCACTGACAAAAAGAAAATAATATATATGTAGAATAAAAGTATATATAATGAAAAATTCACCAGAGAGATCAGCAGCAAAATTAGGCAGGCAAAAGAAAAGGATCAGAAAACTTAAGGGCCAGGGATTTAGCTCAGGGGTACTGCGCCTGCCTTGTAAGTGCAAGGTCCTGAGTTCAATCCCTGGTACCAAAAGAAAAAAAAAAATTGAAGACAAGACAATATAAATTACTGAATCTGAAAAGAGAAAAGAAAAAGAATGAACAAAAGTAATTAAAGCCTAACGCACATGGGCCAGCTTCATTAAAAAGGCCAATGTATGCATCATGGGAGTTCCAGGAAGAAAGAAAAAGGAGTGCAGAAAGATTATTTGAAGAAATAGTCGGCAGCTCTTCCTTTTTGCAGCTATTGATGATGTGGCAACAGTCAAGATGAAATTCAACACTACTATGACTTCTGACCAAAGCAAACCCATAGACAGCATTTCAAACAGCCTTTTACATAAAGAGTCAGGATTTAGCTCAGTGGTTCTGCCACCTACCTTGCAAGCCCAAGGTCCTGAGTTCGAACCCCAGTACCAAAAACGAAAAAGTTGCCTCACACACACAGAAAGATTACGTCTTTCCCTCTTTCAAAGGTACAGTATTTGATTTGTGCCATTCTGAAAGGAGGAAGTTCAGGACGTATGAAAGGACACTACAACAATCAGGAAACAACAAAGTAGCCCAAGAAGCTCACAAAGTAGATGGATAAACTCATACCAAGATACAACTGGACTGCCAGAAGACAAACAATCTCAAAGCAGCAGAAAAGAGGCAACCCATCGATATGAAAAAGATCTTCAGTAAAAATTATCAGCCAGTTTCTCAGCAGAAACCTTTGCAGTAAGCAGTGGGATGATAAATTAAATGGAGGTCCAATCAATAATTATTTTATATGTTTGTTCGTTCATTTATTTTTTGGTACTGGGGATCGAACTCAGGACCCAGCACCTGGAAGGCAGGTGAGGTGCCACTGAGCTAAATCCCCAACCCTCCAACCAATAATTCTATAATCAGCAAAACTGTCCTTCAAAAGGGCTAAGGATTTAGCTCAGTATCGCTGCTGCCTGCCTTGCAAACACAAGGTCCCGAGTTCAATCCCTGGGGATGATAGAGCAGCATGCCAGAAATCCTAGCACTAAGACAAGAGGGTTATAAGTTTGAGCTCAACCTGAGCGACTTAACAAGACTCTGTATCAGAAAAAAAAAAAAAAAAAAAAAAAAATTTTTTTTTAAAAGACAGAATCTCGCTATTGTAGTTCGGGCTGGCTTGAACTCACTGTGTAGCCCAGGGTGTACTTCAACTCACAGCAATCCTTCTTCCTCAGCCTCTCCAGTGCTGGGAGTATAGGTGTATACTACCACACCTAACGTCTCAAAATTTAAAATAATAAACGAGTTGGGGATGTAATTCAATGTAAAACCCCTGAGTTCAATTGCCAGTACTACCAAAAAAGTAAATACATACATACATACATATATATACAAGAAGAAAAAGAAACCAAGATATTTGAAAATAACAAAAGCTAAATGGAGTCCATCCCGCAGAATAAAATGAAAAAAGCTAAATAATAACTTGAAGCTATATGAAGAGATAGATTGCTGATAAAGGTAAACACAAGGGCAATTACAAAAATTAATATTATTGTGATTGTTTTATAACTTCACTTATTTTCTACATAATTCAAATGCAAATGCATAAAATTATTAATGAAGATTATGGGAAAAATTATGAAGATGCAATCTATAACAGTAATAGAAGAGGAATCCCAGCACTTGGGAAGCTGAAACAGGAGGATCTGTGAGTTCGAGGCCAGCCTAAACTACATAGTGAGTTCAAAGCCAGCCCAAACTATATAGCAGGATGCTGTCTCTCAAGACCCTGTTTCAAAAGAATAAAGTTTGGCCGGCATGGTGGCACACGCCTGTAATCCCAGCACTCAGGAGGCTGAGGCAGGAGGATCGCTGTGAGTTTGAGACCAGCCTAAGCTACATAGTGAGTTCCAGGTCAGTCTCAACTACATAGTAAGACCCTGTCTCAAAAAAACAAAACAAAAAAACCCAAAAGAAGAAAGTCTGTTTGTTCTATGATAATAGCTGAAAATTTCAAACCCCACAGCAGTGAAAAAATTGATCAGATAATGTAAGTAAGGAAAGAGTCAAATGAAACAACCAACTAGATCTTATGACAAAAATACTCTAGTTAGCCAGGTGTGGTGACCCACGCCTTTAACTCCACTATTCTGAGTGGCTGAGGCAGGAGGATCACAAGTTTCAGCCCAGGCTGGGCAACTTAGCAATTTAGTAAGATGGACCCCCCACCAACCTCAAAATTTTAAAAAATAAAGAGGGAGTAGCCTGGGACTATAGCTCAGTGCAAAAGATCCTCAATTCCCAAAACAGACTGACAGAGAAAATAATAATAAAAATTTAAAACATCCAACAGCAGAATGGCTCTTCTAAGATGCACATGGGACATTTTCCAGGACTGAGTACATACTACTCTGCAAAAGAAGTCAACAGAGTTTTAAAGACAGACTCTATATAAAATATCTTCCCTAACAAAAATAGGATAAAGTTAGAAATCAGTAACATTAAGCAAACTTGAAAATTCAAAAAAACTTTAAATGGGGCGGGGGGTTTGGCTCAGTGGTTTCATGTCTGCCTCTCAAGCACAAAGGCCCAAGTTCATTCCCCAGTACAAAAAATAATAATAATAATAATTGTACTGTATACAATCTCTGACTTTACAGTTCCATTCCTAGGATTCATTCTCTAGACATTTTCAGTGTGAGGTGACATGTTTACAAAGGTACATAGTATAGCATTTTGCCATTTGTAATACCAAATATCATAAAAACTAAATGTGTCAATAGAGTATATGTGTACTATTGAAATATTAATAGTTCTCATAAAAAATAAGATATCTCTGTTAATTGATGTACGATAAGGACAAATTAAGTTTAAAAGTGTGCAGGTCTAGGGGTATAATGTTAGATTTCCCTTGCCTTAAAATGGCTGTCACATGGAATAGCAGCCTCCATTTTAAAATATGGCTTCTCCCAACAAAGGACGTTACTGGTAGAAACAAGCTTGGCATGCATAGTCCCCAGGTTCAATTCTTAGCATCAAACAAAAACAAAAACAAAAACAAAAACAAAAACAAAGCCAGGCATGATGCTACGTGCCTGTTATCCCAGCACTTCTGAAGCTGAGACAGGAGAATTGCCCAAGTTCAAACAAAGACAGCCTGAACTACATAGTGAGACCTTATCTAAAAAAAAAAAAAAAAAAAAGGCAAGCAACAAGAAGAAAAAGAGATAGTGTCAGCAAAAACTTAA